TAAATACGAAACCTAACTATCACTCGGCCGTGTTGCGGTAGAAATTTGTGTTGCGATAAATCTCGAACAATTTTCAGCCGAATTTTTTTATTTCGATCGAAATTATTATTATTGTACGGAATTGAAAAATATGAGAAGAATTTTTCGCGATAATAATAAATACGAAACGAGCGAGGATACGTTTTTTAAAAATGGAGATAGGAGATTATGTTACCTGAGAAACGGTAGAAAGTTGAGCGGTCCAGCGACGCCAATTTGCTTCACACCCTCTTCCTGTAGATGCCTCAGCCATTTCCAAATTTGATCATCCTCCTCGTACGTTTTCCCAAACACGATGCTATTGATAAGATTGCCCAAGCAGTGGTGAAGCGTGTCCAACGGATCGATCGGGCCGTTTGCACCACGATTTCTTAATACCTGTTGCGTATACGAAATGAAAAAAAGGAAGAGGGAGATAGATAGACAGACGAAGGGGGAAAAAAATCATCGTTTATACTCCTTCTATCCGAGAAATTATTAAGAGGAGAGAGAGTTAATGATCGTTATATTGAAGCCTACTGATACGCATTCGTTAACTGCATCCGATATTCGTTTCTCCATCTTGTCACGTTTCGCTCCCTCGTGCTTCACCATACCGAAATTTCGTAGACAGTTGCTGATAAATTTTCTCTGATCCTTCCATTGTTCCCCCTCCGCGCAAATTATACCTGGAGCAAAGCAATAAACGACGGATGGACGGATAAGAGATAGGGCACGAGAGAAACCTTACCGTAACCTTTCATGATACCGTGGGTAAGGTACAAAGGTGCTCTGTTCGTAATGGAATCTTTTGCAAACGATTGACGTATCAGTTGTGGATCTGACAGTAAAACGGTGTAAACGGAGCCCATGCGGAATCCGCATACAGGGCCGTAAACTCTTGACAATTTCGTCAGAGTTTCGTGAGGTTTTTCCGGGTCGATCCATGGAAGGTAGCCAAAGAGCGGAAGTTGCCAGGGGCCGGGCGGTAGACGACGGCCTTTTCGATTTTTGTGAAGAATATATACAAGAAGGAGAAAAGATAAAATGAGTATCGCGTAATGTTCGAGATTCATCGCGATATGATGGTGTCGAATGATATCTTGTTGATTCGATTCGTCGTGTGATGATGATATAGATAGATATATCTTCTAGGATGATAATCTCTATCTTACCTGTAACAAAGAATGAAAAAAATATTTTTTGATTAAATAAATAAGGAAAGGATATACAAGTA